ATTCCTGGTGGTAATTGTACAACAGTGAGACTATATGAGAGTATTTATTACAATGTTATATTCGTTCTTCTGGCAACATTCGAATAATCTCTAATCTCTAAAAAGGAACGGGAATTTTTCTAAACGTAACGAGACACGGGAAATCAGAAGGAGGATAAAACATAACATAATAAAGGAACCGGGTACGAAAAAGAAAAGGATATTGATCCCATAGTGTTCATAAAGCTTGCCGTCGAGATAAAATACTGACGCACACATGCAATGTGAAAAACGCGATTAAATAATTCCCTAATCAGACTAATACTACGTGCAATCGAGTATTGGTTCTTACCTGCTTTTCCTGCTTCTTTTTGGAGCAGTTGGGGCAGCTCCATTCGACGCCGTCCTCTTCCATCTGCTGACCCATGGCTTTGGTGACGTTGACGCACTTGCCATGGAACCATTCTTCGCATGTGTCGCAGCAGATCATGAAACGGTTGTTGTGCGGCTGCATGCAAATGCACCATAGTCTGTAATTGAAGGTGATTGCATGAAATAACATGTGTTTATCGTTCTGACGGTTGTGGAAAGAAAAACCCACCTATCCGGATCGTCTTCCGAATTCCAACTTTCATCCGATTCAGCATCGTCATCGACAGCAGGGGCAACAGCTGCAGCGACAGCGACCGTGCTCTGCCGCTTACCGCGACCAGATGTGGATGAAGATTCCGAAGTTCTTCTGCTGGAGGTTCCACTCCTATTACCTTTGCTTCGAGATTCATCAATCATCAAGCTTCCCGATCCGTCATCGTACGATACAGCTCCTGTATTGAGCTTTATTGATTGTTTTGAAGATTTCGGATGATGGCCGGAAGGTGACGGTGTAAAGCTCCCAGAAGGAGCTATTGTGGTATGAGGCGCAACCGACACCGGAGCGGGTGACACAGTAGAACTGGATCCAGCTTGAGCACGACGTTTCGCAGACCGGGTGGCGGGAGCTTCGATGGGTGGTAAAGTGATGATCCGACCATCACTTCGTCGGATTTGAATGGATTCCTTTCGGGGCATGAGTTGCTCTTTAACGGTCATCGTTGGTAGCGATTCTGGATTCGCTGACGACGGGGTACTATGAGTGGGAGTGGATGGCTGCATTTGCTGCGTAATTGAAATTGGGTTCATTGCAGAAGTTAACGGGGTAGGTATAGAAGCCGCAGATGAGATCGAATTGTCGGTTCCTATGACTCCTAGAACTTGTTTATCGAGAATTTCCTGCAGTTCTTTGTGTTCAGCAAGTTCGGCGACGTGTTGAAGGAGATCTTCCGGAAGACCGTCGTCATTGGACCCAAGAGCAGCCAGAATACTGTTGTCTGTAATAGGGAGAACAGGCTCCTGAACACCACCAGGAGGGAGGTTATTTTCCAACATTTTCACAATATCCTCCGTCATGGTGGGTTGCTGTAACGGAAGCTTTGGATCCGGATGGTTCAGTTCTTCCTGAACAATCGAATCAATGAGATCTAATCGTTTGTCGTGTTCTTCGGAAGCACTCGTGTGGGTTTGAATTGAAATATGGGCCGGTAGTTTTTGCGGTCCTCTCACTATGGCTGGCGAAAGCTGCACGAAGCCTCGAACCGTATTTGAAGTGCTGGGTGTTATCACTGGTGTTGTCGTTGGAGTTCCGACGTGCTGTCCAAGACGGCCCGAACCGACTTTTTTGATGATGTCCGGTGTGGAGAACAGTGAAGTCATGTCACTAAATAGAGCTTCAACGTGATGAGCTGGTTTGGGGGGTTTTTTAATGTCTTTCTTAACCACCGTCACCACTGTCACTGGGGCGGGAGGAGGGACAGTAACAGGTGTAACAGCTGCAATAACCGGTGTAGGTGCTACCGGTGTTGGGGCTGGAGAAGCTGAACCTGACATGGGTGGTTGTAAATTTCGTTTGGGGCCATACGTTCTCGGAACACCGGTTTTGTTGAGCATAGAAATCGGTGTTTTAGGTTCAGATTTTTTAGGTGTTTTAGTAGCTTTCTTTTTACTGGATTCGTGTGATTCTTCCTTCTTTGAAACACTTTTCGGAGTTTTATTTTGAGAGCTAGATTTCCGCTTCTTTGGCGTCTTTCCAGTTATACTAAAGTCCAAGTCGCTATCATTATCATCTTCTTCCGGATAAGAGCTATCGTCGGAATAATCTGAATCAGAACCTTCAAGTATGCTTTGCAAATCTTCAGCATCATTCATTGCCTCTCGAACAGATTTTCTCCGTCGAGATTTATTGGTCGGCGTTGGAGGCGATACTTTACTGGTGGATCTCTTTCTGCCACTGGTTCCTTCTGCCGCTGGATGCTGAATAGTAGTATGTGTCTCACCGACCGCAGTACCATCACCGGATCGAATTTCGATCGGCGAGTCCAAATCCTCGTAAAACGGTCGTGGCGGTAATTTCTGACTTGGCGATGTCAACGGAGTGTAACAATGATCATTAGCAATAACGTATCGTTGAAATTCGTAATCGATTCTGGTCTCCACACGAAGTGGTTTACGCAATCCGGCCAATGTTAGCACTTCTTCCGCAAACTTTTTCGCTTCTTCTGGTGGGTAGAATCTCTCTATCATCATACTAACGTGCGGAGCATCTCCGTCGTCTAGCATGACGTCCTCTTTCTTGCCAGCTGCAGGTTTATTACTTCTTCTGGTGGTCACTCCACTTGGACCTGGCGCCGATGCATTCGCGGGAGTTTCATTCTTCGAAACTCCACTTGAAGGGGCAGCATTTGAAGAATCCGGTGAATCTCCTGAGCCACTATCACTGGATCCTGTACCGGATTCAAGCTCCTGCTGAAGTTTCTCCTCCTGCAACAAACGACGCTCCTCCTCGATTTCTGCCTCGATGCTAGGCGTTGGGGATGTAATACGAACAACACTTACTGAAGTGTCGTTGGTTTCGTTAGCTGAAAAGAAGGAGAACATAGTTTCATTTAATTATAAAAACTACACATAAACAAAAGATAGAGAATAGTGTATCCGAGATCCATTTCAACTTTTCAACAAACAGCACTATCGCAACCAAAACAAAAATGCGGCAACCTCGCATTCGATAGGGTATTCGCTGAACAGCATGAGAAACCGAAGAAAGCAAAACATAAAAATAAACGAGAAAAGAGGCGCGCAAAGATCGCAGCATAATATCGTCGTTTTTTTTTGTGTTGTGTTTTCTACCAGCGGCTAAGCTAGTCGCTTATATTCGCAATCACGCCAATTGTACCAACAGTACTCAATTAAACTCACACCCGCTGATTGTAAGCTGTTACTGTCTTACGTACCTAGCAAACTGTGCAGAGTTTTCTGATCGACATGCACACTTCCATCCTTTCCAACGACGATCACAAGATTGGAATCAATTTTCAGATGCTCATCAACCGATGATGCATTCAACACTCCTGGCCCGCCGGATGTTTCCGCTCCTGATGTTTCCCCTTCAACGTTCAATACTCCTTCCTCCTCCCGACTCGACGTTGGGGACGGCGGATAAACTTTGAAAACCGAACTGGACATTTCCCTTCGTTCACCTCTCGTTATAATCTAATTTTTTTTATTTTCTACACTCCCCAGAAGTGTCAACAAAAACAAACCCTCAACACTTTGCGCAATCGTTTCAAGTTTGTCCGCGGTTCTTCACTGGGCAGTGACTGCAATGTTCACACAAAAATATTCCATTTTCCACATTCTAATCTTCCGCCAGAACACACGCTCTAGTCCTTCCTTTTGCTTTGATTCACTACTGGCACCCATCAAGCCTCCACCGCGCCAGCGTTCCGTTTTGTGTCCGCTGCCGTTTGCTGCACTTCGTACAGCCAACTCGCCGTGGACGCCATCTTTCTCTTCCTGTGGTGGAGCTGTTAGCCCCCGGAAAGTTTTTTTCACGTACCTTTTTCACACTTCAAACTACGGTTTCCGGACCGTCCTCGACAGGAATTCGCATCCGCATACGTTCAGGATAGTTTCTAGCTAGGTTTTGGCACGCCAAAAGCATCTGAAAATGGGTTTTGAAGGCAGGGAAAATTGCTTCCTTCTAGCGAACAATTTTTGCGTGGTGCCTTCGACAAAATTCTTTTCTGCTGTGACTAGGAACGCAGCGAAAAGTGGGTTTCAGTTTCCAGCGGTAATATATTGCTGTACTCTTTGCTCTCATGAAGAAGATATGTATTATTCGGTGAAATTACATGCTGTCTCTTTTGTACCTGTTTGTCATTCTGGAAAAACAGGGCTGCGCGTTATTTGCGATGTTATTCACACGTGCACTGAACGACATTTTCAAGTATTGTCAATAATTCAGAGAATCAGATTATAATTATTGGGTTCTTTAATTTTGATAAATATATCGGTTTTTATATATCATCAATTTTGGTACACTGGAACTATTTTAAATAAGTACAATTACATTAGCATTATTATTAGCGCCCCTCAGTGTCACTTTGTATGGGAGCGAGCTGTCAGTTTGTCAGTTTAGTGTCAAACAGTGAAGTTATTATTTTGCTTTAAATCTTGATTTAAAAATCGAGATGAAAGTGTGTGGGTTCGAAAAAAAAATATCGCTGTGCTTAGAAAACGAAGCTCTTTCAGATGATATATAAAAACCGATATATTTTTCAAAATTAAAGAACCCAGTTGCCACAAATCGTCGATTGAAGTGATTGTTTAAAAAATCAAATACGTCGATTTGAATAGTTACGCTTGATTTATTCGATTATATTTTATTGCAATAGTTCATTCTCTGTGTGCGAGTATTGATGGTCCGAAAGTGAGGATAACAATAACAAATAAACATTTTTAGCTTTGGCGAAAGTGAAGATCTGGATCAACAATAGAAAAGAGCCCATCAGCATTTGTAAACAAACCGTTCCAAAGCCCATTACTCACAAATCGAAGGCCGCCCACACAAACCAACACCATCATCGTATAGGTATAAGTTTCCCCTATCCGATGATGGTGTTGGTTTACGTAGGTGGCCTTCGCTTTGTGAGTAAAGGGCTTTCGAACGGTTTGTTTACAAATGCTGATTCTATTGTTGATCCAGAGATAACAAACGTGAACAAATTTCGCATTTGAAAATGGGATTACGCAAGTGTGCGTGTTATAAACGTCAGAAAGCTCAATTCCTTTCATGGAGCTTTCATAGCATCGTAATCAGGGACGACGACACTTCAGGATAATCTAATTTTTACCCAAATCTCTCAAAAAATTTCCAACGTACACAACATTTCAATCTATCCTATCTAATCTTTCTATTCCCAACTTATTCCTTCTGCATGATCACTAATTGTCAAGCAAGAAGTGCAGTTCTGGTAGTTTTCAGGTGGGCCGATCAGCACCCTCCCCACCCCCACGTATTCACGTTTATTTTCAACACGAATATTTTTTAAATAAACGGAACATTATTTTTATTTTAAACATTAATATCACATGATTTCAAACATGGAATCCCTAATAAACAAATACCATAAACGAACTATATCCCGGATGCGTAAACTAACCCACAAATGGTCTGTATGATACCTCGAACACGTCGTTAAGCCAACAATCAATACGAAACTAACGATTTTAAATTGGCTCACCACTTTAGTAGCCTATTGGTCCCAAGCAAACGATTAACGTACCCTATTCTAGTTGAAATTCTATTACTACACTATGTTTGTTTTGATTCGCTATGAAAGTTTGACAGATAACATCAGGGGTGTGTGGATTCATGCAGAACATGCAGGGGTGAGTGAAATAGCTTGGGACTGCTTGGGACCGTTGTTCTGGTACTGAGTGAGCCAAAAATAATAATGATTTTCTTCGGGACCCAGTGGTCTTAGAGTTACCTCTATGGTTAAGCTCTCTTTTATGGTTATTTTTATTAGGGATACGTTTGAAATAAACATTGTTTATTTTTGTGGCCAAAACAAACTGAGTTTAAGTTTAAATTTACCTCAAATATTTTTGTTTCAACGATACATTTTTCTGCGTGACGGATCACTCGTTCATAATCGGTCGCGGGGGCAAAAACATTAAGCGCATCATGGAGGAGACGGCAGCACACATTTACCAATCGGTGAGCACTCGTGTTTATTTCAGTTACCGTGTGGACATAATTTGTGATTAGCCCCGGTTTCTTTCAAATTGTATAATTATCCGACCAACCATTTCGTTAATTTTCTTTAATTTTCTATGCATCGATCTTCAAAGCCATTCATAAGAAAAATCGATAGCGATCGTCACCATTTCATGAATAATTGTAAAGATGCACAAACTCTAGAGTATCATTTGAAATGGGCCTATGTCCAAAACGTAAACAAATCGGGTTTTGATATCATTCTTTAGCACTGCTTGATAGCTACTAATCGTGTAGGAAAGTTCCGCACAATCGAGAAAAATCATTAAAAATAACTCGATTTTCGAAACGGCCGATCAACGAAATTTTTCGATTCATTAATAGGCCCGCACGCTAAAACGGCCAACCATTCATTTATTTCATTTCATTGATAAGCCTAGTGACGTAGAAGGGCCGATGATTGAAAAATTTCAAACCAAAGCTAGGCCCTACTGCTTGAGGCAGGGCCGATGATTTGTTTTGAATTTATTTGACGTTGCGAAAAGGCTTAGCAAAGGGCCTACCATTTCTGATGACAAGCACAACGGCTTAACAAAAAGGGCCTATCCATTGAAAGATTCACAAAAAAGGCTTATTAATTTAAGAAATTATATTGTTATCGATTTTCATATAATTTTGAAAGCTTTTCGCATATTTTGGATGTTGTATGCTGAGATACAGTTACTATTGTTATTGTGAACAATATAAATGCCTAAAATACTTCAATTTTCTTAAATATGAATTGAATAATGACGGTCAAAATTTAAAATTCATTTTCTGGTTTGTTTACGTTTTGGACATAGGCCTATTTCAAATGTTACTCTAGAACTCATTTTAGCAGCCCTCATCATAGCGCAGCTACCGTATCGAGTAACTAAGGCTCTGAACCATTTGGTGGATTATTTTAACTTTTGGTTAAAATTTGACAGATGAAAAGTTATCGATTAACCCTGCTATCCGAGCATGGTTATTTCTGACAGACAAGAAGTTAAATTTTGACAACCGTGGCTCGAAAACCGGTCGATCGACAGCACGGGGATTTTCGAACATAGAAAATAACTTTCGAAATGTCACTTTTAACCACGAGTTAAATTTAACTCGGCAAATGGTTCACAGCCTAAAATAGCAGTCGGCTTCTCGGTGAGAAGCGCGTTACCAAATTTAGCAGCGCGATAGCAGCGCGGGTTGCTATTCGTAGAAATGTCAAAATGCTCACTACCGGGACGGACAAAGGTGAGTAAATTGACCACTTTGTCAAGCAGTTTTGGCTTGACTTTCTACCAGCGATTTAACAAAACTGGACCAACTAATTTCTATTTTTTTATGAAACGCACAAATTTTGGCCACTTTTCTTGAGGTTCTAGAAGAAAAAATCTCAAAATAATGTTTCATTCGAGGTTTCATTTCAAAGTTCGAGTGGTAGTTAACGTCATTTTATCTGCTTGAATAAAGTGGTTAATTGATTACCGCGATAGCAGCGACCGGTGTGGAGAAGAGTGAGTAAACTAAAATGAGAGCGCTGTGCGCTGTTAAAATAGTTGCGCAAATGACAACGACCGTTACGGTTGCTCTAACGGTCCTTATATTTGCGTCATGCCGAAATAAGCATTAACTTCTCCAGAGGATCATCACCCATCGTTTCAAACATATGCTGCACTCTCATTGTTGGAAAAATGACAACATAGCGAACAAAAAATAATTGATTAGTTGTTAATCGAGTAATTAAAAAATGGGACATCTCTGATTTTGGTATGATTGTTTTGATAAAAAAAGTGCGCAAAATTTCATCTCTACCGAGGAGGCAGCAAATCAACAAAATTACCATGGTATTCATTGGATAAAAGGGACCGTGAAAGAGGACACTAATTTTAGTGTTTTCTATTTAGAAAGTTTTTCTTCCGACAGTTTCATCTTAGTATTCTTCTTTGCATTTACCGAGGGGGTGATCAACTTCATAAATCAGCTGAATTGTAAATATACACTTGAAAAATACACCAACAAAATACATAAAAATACGTTAATGTGTGCACGTTAAAACTAAAAAACATTAAATGAAATACACAAAAATACCTCGAAAATACTTTGCACACGAAAAATACATTACATAATGATAAACACTATAGATATTATAGATTCCATAGATAAGCGGAGAAGTATAATGTCAGGCAAAACATTTGATGACGGCACAACAGCATTTGTAAACAAACTTTCCAATGCCCTTTACACGCGAACCAAAGTAAACCAACGTAAACCAATACCACTTTAGAAAAGGTGATAGTTGCCCCTATCTGATGATGTTGTTGGTTTGCGTGGGCGTACTTTGGTTCGCGTGTAAAGGGCCTTAGAAAGTTTGTTTACAAATGCTTTTGTGCCGTTATCAAATGTTATGCCTGATTTTTGTTATTGGAAAAATATTATGTGCGTTCCTAATAGAAGCTAAGTGAAAACTTTTTTCAGTGTAGAGCACTTCGTTGTGCCGTTTTGTTTTGTTTCGTGCGTAAAAGTTCAAAATAAAGTGCATAGCAGTGCGTTGTCTGCGAAATAAATCGGAATGTGGAGTGTGGAAAGCGTTTTGTGCTCATAATATTACAATACTTCTCCCTCAAACAACACCATGATGACGTCATGCTCGTTTGGCTACACGAAACGAAAATCAATTATTTAATTCATGTGTTTCACTTATACATTTTTGCCAAAGCATCAGCCTTATACATTCCATAAGACAAACCACATAGGTCCTATTAGAATGCTTAAAAGATATGTGTGACCGCTTATACATTTCATTTGACACATGATCTTTATTAACTTTTTGCAGATTTAATCTCCTTATACCTTTTGGCAAATTTCCATTGCTGATTATTCATAAATTGTATAAGTCGACTAATAAGCAGACGCCTTGCAAAAAGTTAATAAAGATCATGTGTCAAATGAAATGTATAAGCGGTCACACATATCTTTTAAGCATTCTAA